TCCTAAGTCACAGATACAGAAGAAAGAGAACCCAGAAAGGCCAGGAACGGCAAACCTTCATCCCCAGAGAAGCCTATAACTGGCCCAGGCGATCGCAACACTGAGCAGCTTACTGTGTGGGCCAAGGAACAGCCCTGTGTCTTCTTTGTGTCTGGTTTTGTGTCCATCACCAAGGACTGTGGCTGTTCCCCAAGACCTAGGCCCAGCTGAGGACTCTAGGGGGTGGGGAGGGGCCAGGGCATCCTTCCAGCCACCCTGTGAGGCCCAGAGACAGAGAGCCGTCATGTCTGTTTGTAGACACAGCCTGTTGAGAACACTCAAAGTGGTAGTCTGGGCTTCCCTGTCATCCCTGCAACCCGGAGGTGGGCAGCTGAGATGAGAGGCTCAGGAGAGTGCAGGGAACGCTTTCTGATGCTCTGCACAGCACCTGGAGGGACAGGCAGGGGATGGTGATGAGGGGGCGTGGCTACCCCCACCCCAGCCTGCCTCCCTCCCCCTCAGCACTGCAGCTGATGCCATTTCCCCCGCTCCCCTCCTGGCTAACGCCTGGGACCTTTTGTGGGGATGCTGCCTGCTAGGACCCTGCCACCTGCTCATTGGTTACTAGTTGCCACTGACACTTGGCTTCAACCAGGCTCCACCCTGCACTGTGCAAAGGCCCAGCTGCATGGGCTTCAATACGGGCATTTGGGGATGTCCCCAGGGATTGGGGGGCTGCTTTATGATCTGCCCCAGGAGGGTGGCTTTGGCTGGGCCTAAGATTTCAGTAGCTACCCTTCTTGCATTTTTGGAGTCCCTGGGTGGAGCAAATGGTTAAGCACTCAACTACTAGCTGGAAGGTTGGTGGTTCGAACCCACCCAGAGGTACTTTGGAAGACAAGGGTGGTGATCTGCTTTGGAAAGGTCATGGCCTTGACAACTCCATGGAGCAGTTCTGCTCTGCATACGTGGACATGCTGTGAGTCACAGTGGATGCCAAGGCAACTAACAGTGACAATTTCACGTTAACAGCTTTGCAAATTTTCTGTTGGATTTCATTTGTGTGGACAGTTGAGAAGCAGCTCTGGTGGCTCAGTGCCTGAGGCATTTGACTACTAACCAGAAGGTTGGCAGTTCAAACCCACCAGCCACTCTGAGGAAGGAAGACAGCGCACTTCTGTAAAGATTTACTGCTTTGGAAACCCAGTGGGGGTCGCTATGAGTCAGATTCAACTCAGTAGCAGTGAGTTTGTTTGGTTTGGTTAGTTGAGTATGTTTGCTCTATTGTTGCCATGTCAATTGTCATTTGACTCCTCCCGGGTTCTCTTTGTCACTGCCTTTCATTCCCAGTGGGAAGTTGGAGCAGAGAGGGTATGTGGGGTGAGCTAAGCCCAGCTCCACACCCCAAATTGACTTTGTACACCCCAACATTCTCCTTCCCCCCAGTGGGCTCCTGGGTCAGGAGAGGCAGCGAGCAGGGATGGCCACGGAGTCATGGCATTTGGTGGTCCCTCCAGGTCACCCTTTAGAAAGTACAAACCAACTGAAAGCCGTGATTTCTTTGTTCTACTTTGATGAATGCAGAGTAAACAATTCTTACTTGCATCTCTAATACTTAAGTTTCATTTGTCTTTGCAATGTAGTTGGCTCTTGTGAGGCCCCTGACCTTGAGCGGAGACTGCGTCACTTGTGTGTGACCAGAGGGAAACGTTTCGAGGCAAAGGCTCCTTTGTTCAGCTGTGCGTCTCCCTAAGCTCAATGTGTATGCGGGACTGACCTTTGTCTCATGGGTAGGAACCTGGGAGGTGGGGCCACAGGTCAGCCCTAAGTGCCCCCACCCCTCTGTGAGGGATGACGGGGTGTTGGGACTGCATGTGAGGACAGTGCGTCCTTCCCCCTGGGTGCTGTGACTGGTCCTTGCAGTCCCTGGAGCTGGCTGGGTCCGCCGTCAGCGAATCTGGGCTGCAGTCTGGATCCTTTCTGCTCCTGTGCGCCTTCATCGTCCAGACCACAGACCGCAGCAGCGGCCATTTTACTGCATGCAGCCCAGGCTCAGAGGCCAAGCCCACCCTCCTATTCTCTCCCAGCCTCTGCCCTCCCAGCCCCTGCCTTGCCTGGCCTCTAGTCCCTCTGCCCCTCTGTCCTCCACTCTGCCACCCTGCCTGCCGGTCTCATGTTCCTAGTTAACAGAAGCCTGTGCTCAGATAACCCCTCTGCTGAGGGACGAAGGGCCAGGCTCTGGCTCTGGTGCCAGAGTCTCCTTATTGCACCCTCTCTTCCATGCCACCCTTCCACCCATTTCCCTCTCCAGACTCCCTCCCATGTGTGACAGGTCACCTGGACAGTGGCCTCTGCCTGGGCTGCCACCGCAACCCTTCCCTTGGGCTCTCCCCTGCCCTTCTTCATTCCCTTGACCCCCCTGTCTCTCTGGGAGGGGTTCTCCTAGAGACCCTGGAGTCCACAGAACCGACTGTGCCGGTCAGTAATCATTGACCTTCGTGCAGTCCTTTCCTGCCTAATGACACAGCCAGCAGCTTGAAGCAGAACAAGTAAGCCTGTGTCTCTGAAGTCTGGACCTAATCCCTGAGCTGGGAAGCTGTATACTGAAGGTGGACATTCAGTACAAGTACACACATATGCAGTCATGCCTCCGCCCGCCCGCCATGCAGGAAGACACTCAGATGTGCCTCCTATCAGGTTCTTGCATGGCGCCCGGGGACTCGAGCTCAGCTGACCCATAGCCAGCATGTCCAGCACGTTGTTGTTGTTGTTGTTGTTGTTTGCCGTCGAGTCAGCCCCGACTCATAGCGACCCCTCCTTGGGTTTCCGAGGCAGTATCACTACGGAAGTAGGATTGCCCAACCTTCCTTCCGAGGAGTGGCTGGTGGGTTTGAACCGCCAGCCTTCTGGTGAGCAGTCAAGTGCCTTAGGCACTATGCTACCAGAGCTCCCATAGCCCTCCTGATACAGAGCAGTGTCCCTTCTGACTGATCAGGGCTGGCTGTCAAACATACTAACCATGGAAACGTGACATAGGTCTGGTGACAGGAGGATTGTGTTGTAACTAGGGCCCCAAGCAGACTGAGGCCGGATAGACCTGGTGTTCTGGCTTTGGGTCCTCAGGGCTCCCTCGGCTGTCATTCCACATTAACAAGCAGTGAGTGGCTCACCTAGGGCCCAGCACCCAGAGAGGGTTATTCAGAAAGGAAAAACCTTGTGAGCAGATGTACCAGGCATCAGAACCCAGCTCTGCCCTTGAAGAGCTGGGACCCGGGCCACTGGCTTGGCCTCGTGCAGCCTACAGAATGGAAGAAGGGCCACCATCTGCTGGTGGCCACCATGAGGCTCGGGTTAGCCTGTACGAAGTGGGAGGCCCAGGGCCTGGCCCTACACAAGCGGCCTCTGGATGCTGGGACACACAGGGCTGGAGTTGGGCTTGCTGCAGAGTAGGGGGCTCCCACCTGCAGCTTGGATATTGACCGAAGGCCCCCATGGCCAAGAGCGTCCTCAGAGGCAGGGTGTGTGGTGGCCGCTCCCCTCCCCCCCACACACACACACACAGAGGCCCACAGAACTGTAACTCAGTGCCTCTACTCCACATGCCTTGTCTGTTATGGGAAGAAACCCAGTCTCTCCAAACATGCAGTCTTTTTTGACCTTCATACCTCAGGTGAAGGAAAAAGATTTTCTTCATCTTAAAAAGTAGGAAAAAGTTTCATGCTGATTGTTTCTGAATCAAGGTGTTTTGGAAACCCCTCAGCACTTAGAGGCTTTGGGACGCACAGAGGTTTGGGGAGTGGCAGGGCCACAGGCCAGCTGCCCACTCCATGCCATGGCAACTCCCCAGGGCATGCATCCTCAGATACAGGTTGCCCTGGCAGCCGGGGGGGGGAGTATCCAAGGGTACCTGGGCAGCTGCTGAGAGATGAGAGGGAGGGTGAGTCAGCCAGCAGCCTCAAGGGAAGAGGGCAGGCTCTGGAGGCAGATGGTATAGCTGGGAGCCTGGAGCATGTGACTTCCCCTCTCTGAACCTCACTTTCCCCATCTGTCCCCTGGGAATGGCACCATTCCTACCCTAACTGTGAGGATACAGTGCTGTCTGCACACAAACCAAAAACCAAACTCACTGCCTTCAAGTCAATTCCAACTCATAGTGACCCCCTTTGGGTTTCCGGAGCTGGTAAGTTTTTACGAAGTAGATTGCCCAGTCTTCCGTAGAGTTGCTGGTGGGTTTGAACTGCCAACCTTCTGGTTAGTAGTCAAATGCCTTAGGCACCATGCCACCAGAGCTCCTTTGTCTGCACACAGTAGGCACTCGATAAATGAGAGGGGTCTTCCCCTTGCAGAGGAGAAGGGAGAGCCCCAGAAGGGAGGTAGGGAGAGCCTCGACTCTGGCCTGGAGGTCTTCAGGCAGGCCTTGGAGAGGGGATGGCAAAGGGATGGGTGGGGAAGGAGGGGAGGTATGTGAAAGTTCTAGTGGTGGTGGGGACACAGTGGGCGAAGTCGTCAAGCATGAGTGCTTCAGATGTGCAGGGAGCAAAGCAAAGCACAGTGTGTATGGAGGATGGTGTGAGGTAGGGAGTACAGTGAGGGTGGGGGAGGATCTGGACCAGCTGGGAGGCCTGTGAAGCCACCAGGAAAGGAGACCCGTCAGAAAAGGGACCTGGGCCTTATTTTGAGCTTTCATGGGATAGGGTGGCATCTCTACCTCTCCACGCAGCTCACCCCATTCTTGCCCACCCATTGTAATTTATGCGACCTGGTGCCCTGTGCATCAGACAGGTGCCTGCAGACACACCCCCTGCAACACGCGTTCCTGGCACTGTCATCTAAGCAGGTCTACCCTTAGATTTTGCTGGAGGAGGGGAGGGAAAAGCAGCCTGGAAGGCTGAGTGGGGGCTGGGACAAGAGCTGGCGTCGTCCAGGACATCATCTGCTCTGCCTTCCACAGCCCAGGCTGAGTGGCTGCTCCATGCCCTGTTGCTTGGCAACAGCCACAGCCACTGTATTTCTCTCTGTAGATGACTCTGGGGATGACGACGACGAAACTGCCTCCCCATCAGACAAGAGTGAGCTGCACCATACCATTAAGAACCTCTCCTTGAAGTTAGACGAACTGAGCACCTGCAATGACCTCATTTCAAAGCACGGCGCTGCCCTCCAACGCTCTCTGAACGAGCTGGACAACCTCAAGATCCCTTCCGACAGCAGCGAGAAGCTGAAAGTAGTGAACGAACGGGCCACACTTTTTCGCATCACATCAAATGCTATGATCAACGTAAGTGCCCCCCCATCCTGGCAAGGGGGTTCCCCACAGGGAAGTGGCCCCTTGTCACCAGCCCATGTTAAAGTCTGTGTACCCCAATATGGCCCGTGGACAAATTCCACCTTCATTCCTACTATTTCCCAAAATGTGAAGATGGAGCCAGTCTTCACCTTCCTACTTTTCCACCCTAGTCGCCAGCCACTCACATGGCACTCTCTCCCATAGCCCCAGACACCCAGAGCTGGGTCAGAGCTCACAAGTTAGAAGGACACCTTCTTTCAGTCTGCTAAACTGGCAAATGCCAGCCCCTGCTGGCTCCTACTGCCCCTGTGGGTTCATTACTTTGCTGGAATGAGTCACAGAATTCATGGAGAGCATACAGTACTCACTTCAAATTTATTACAACCAAAAAGGATACAAATGAAGAAGCACATAGGGCGAGGTGTGGGAGGGCTCACAGTGTGGAGCTTCCATGTCCCAAGGAGGGACGTGCCACCTTCTCTCATGCATAGACACCAACCAGGAAGCTCCATTTGAGGGAGCCTGCGGGCTCAGTGCTCTCACAGTCTCACCAAATGGTCATGGTAATTACTTCAGGCCCCCAGGTAGTCCCTCTTGGTCTGGTCATCCCCTAGTCATTAGCCTCAGGTGTTGGGATGACTTGAACGAACAAAGAACTAAAGCCAAAATTGCCTTCAGCAAGGTGATTCCGCACCTCACAATGGCTGGAAACTCTTGCATGAGCAGAGCTCTGTTTTCTGTGGCTCCAAGTCATTTCCCAAAGCCAGCACCTCCTTGAACTCTTCATCCTCTCTGCCTTATTCACGGTCATTGTTGGACAAAACCGCACCCACTGCTATGGGAGCTCTGGTAGCATAGTGCCTAAGGCACTTGACTGCTAACCAGAAGGCTGGTGGTTCAAACCCACTAGCCACTCCGGAGGAAAATGGGGCAGTCTACTTCCGTAGTGATACTGCTTTGGAAAACCAAGGAGGGGTCACTATGAGTCGGGTCTGACTTGATAACAACAACAACAACTGCTATGGAGTCAATTCTGACTCAGAGTGACCCTATAGGACAGAGGTGAACTGCTCCCATGGGATTTCCAAGGCTGTAAATCTTTATGGAAGCAGACTAGCCTCATCTTTCTCCTCTGGGTTCAAACCACTGATCTTTTGGTTATTAGCTCAATGCTTTAACCACAGTGCCACCAGAGCTCCTTTTGTTGGACAAGGACATCCTTTTTCATTGTCTGTTGGTAACCAGGACTGGGTACGGAATCCGGATAAGGCTCAGGTTCATGCCTGGGTGAGGAAGGCCAGGTCCCACTGGGCCAGCTCTGCCTGCACAGTGGGGACGCTGCTGCCATATTGGCCCATAATGACTGCTACTGCTCCTACCTTAGGCATAGTCCCCATTGACACATTAGAATTGAGACCTATATGAAGGGGCATATCCACATAGTGGGGGCTGAAATTAAGGGGTTCCTTAGGCAGGAGAGCCTTAGAGCTGAGCCTGCTATGGGTCCTCCAACCAGAGAGAAAAAGAAACGTGTAGCCACAGACTGTAAACTAAGAGAGCTCTCCAGTGGGTTCTGGAAGCTACGTTGCTGGGCTGGAAGCTGGGAGGGTCTCTTTCCATGGTGGCAGCCTGGCTTGACCAGGCTTCCAGGCCCTTTCTCTCTGTGCCTTGTGGGTATTCCCAGAGGATACATGTGCTCCTCCAGGCTCTCGTCACCCGACACAGGTTTGACTGCAGTGCCGCCTGCCCAGGACTGTTCCCTCGGGGATTTGGAGGTTGTGTCCTGGGAGCAAGGAGGGCCCGCGTAGGGAAGGGGTGAGAAAGTGGAGGCCACTGCAGAGGAGGTGGCGCCCGTCCAAGAACATGGTTCAGGCAGCCTCAGGCTGGCCAGAGTCAGTGGGCAAAATGATGCCCAGGTTAAGTCAGCCTCCAAAGCAAGGTGTCACTGACCAAAGTTGGCCAG